TTACCGCACTTTGCCGTTTCACTGCTAGTATATACCCCCCCCCCCCCCCCCCCCCCCCCCCTAGCAGACAGTCAACAAAATTTTCTATACAGCGCTCCAGTCAGTGATGAGGAACCACAGAATAAACGGCACCAACCACTTGGTATACTCCCTACGGTTATCCCTTACTAACATCATCTGCCCAACCATTGCTCATTTTCACTTACTCCCCATTTCCTGAGTTTTTCGGATGTATTTTGAGATTTTTTATCCCGCACCGTTTCACTTCGGCGCCGCCACTGCCCATTCGTGGCGTGTGCTATTCTCCGTCGCCAACTGTTTGTGCTATTGTTTCCACATTTCCGCTTCTCCGGGATCTTTGGAACGAATACAATTTTTTGTGGAAGTGTTGTAGCGAGCACCGCCCACCTATAGCACGCCTCGCCCATCACGGGTGTGACTCCCTCATTTCATCCGCCAACTGACTGCTTATCGTTTCCCACAATTTCCGCTCTCCGGGATCTTCTAGAACCGAACTACGAATTTTTGAAAGTTCTGTAGCGAGCACCGCCCACCTATAGCACGCCCCGTCCATCACGGGTGTGACTCCCTCATTTCATCCGCCAACTGACTGCTTATCCTTACCCACAATTTCCGCTCTCCGGGATCTTCTAGAACCGGACTACGAATTTTTGAAATATGTAGCTCACAACTGTGCGCACGCCCCGCCCACAGTGGGCGGGGCTTAGCTCGGTTCACGTGTGTTCCGTACATCTTGCCTTGCTCCCACCCACCTGACCCCGCGCCTCAAGCTGGCCTCTTCAGTGTGATTCCGAATTCCGCGGACAGACAGACATGACAGCAACGAACAACAGACAACAGCAACAGACGACGACGTGTGTATTATTAGTTCGTATTACTCGTTTTCTACCACTTTTTGTCGCATACGCGTTGCAACAAAAAAGGCTGAGAACGGCTCCAACAATGTGCGCGCTCCTTCTGGCTGACACGCCCCACCGGTCTGCAATGATGAGGACTGTAGTTTAGTAGTTTCCATTGAAATAGCTGCTTAATCTGTGTTGTACTTCAAACAACATTCAAATCGATGTGTCAAGGCAAAAGGCAACTAAAGGCCTTTTTTAGAGAGTTCATAAAAGTCAAAGCACAAGGTGGCAAGGTGTGTAAGAGTCAGGCTAATGGTTGTGTGAGCATTTCTGCTGGATAGACCACCCCTCCCCCCTCAATGTGGCTCTTGGTACGACGCTTCCCCAAAAGGCTGAAACGTGTGTACAACAATGAGGCTTATTAAATTAAGGTGGTATTCATATTCATGGAATACTTGAATTTGAGAATTCGCGGACATTCAGAAGCTGACACACTAGAGCACGCTTTGTGCCGCGGTACTGGAGCGAGTTACGTCGCGGTGCCTTTCCAAGATAGCCCAGGGAATGCGGAAATACCCTTTTTTTAAATCCATAACGTACTGGAGAGAGGAACTTCTGAGGAAGAGCGTTTCTGTGCAGTACTGGCGTTCTTGCTGTTTATCAAGTGAGTTTACAAGGCATGCAAACTCCTTTTTTGAGTGATTTTTCCGCTTGGCGCAACTGCCGACATGTTAAACATCCCCATCCGTGCTTGGAGCAGCCATAACTTCCTTCATCTGTGACCCTTGTGGAACAAAAAATAGTGCCAGAATCGAGAGGGCTTCCACTTTCTGAAAAGCGCCTCACTTCCTAGGCCCTCGCTGATCAAGAACAGCCTCGCCTGGTTATGTTTCTGTTGTGGACCATTTTTCGGGCCGACTGAGAAAACCCACGCGCTAAAATCATTCCATCTCGATTGCAGATTCATGTGCCGCTTCCGGAACACATTTTATTCCTCGAAGCCATCGAAAAATAGTTCATTCTGCGCCGATCGACGTTCCCTCTGTATTGTTCCATGCATGAGACCCGCAGGCAGAGCTGTTTGAAAGGTGTAACCTATATTATACAGGGGGGGGCAATAGAAAAAAGACACTTTTCTTCCTCTACTCCAAGGCACTATAGTTACACTTTATTGAATTCTGATTGGACATTTCCACCACCATATTCAACAGCACATTGTACACTATCACGATACTCCGCCACAGCCTTCTGGACGAGCCATCGAGATTCTGCCACGCGACCGTGATTCGGTGCCTGAGTTCAGCGAGATCGTTGATTTCTCCGCCACTGTAGACCACCCTGTTGAGCTCCCCGGACCCATAATCGAGAGGCTTAGTACAGGTGGCGCACTTGGATATTCCGTCTTTATCAGGTTCTCAACGCCCTTCGATCCCAAGAAGGAGTTTCCTTAAGCCCCTCGATACTGTGTGGTGGCACCCAATCTGTAGCAGTACGAAGTTTCCAAGAAGGTACAGGCGATGACATGAAGGCAGGATATTCTCCTCGAGTTGGTCGATGTAACCGTGCGTTCACTTTCAGTCCGGGGTCCACGAAGAAAATATCGGTCTTCCCATTCCAGGAACTTCCGGTCCATACCATCAACCCGCGCCTTGGCGACTGCGGTGAAGATGATATCCTGGACCGTAGCGACGTTGTCGGAGCTGCTCGATGTTGGAGGTCTTCCAGATCAAGAGTGCCGGTCCCCAGGTAGCTGTCCATGGGTGACTACAAGAAGTTTCGCAGCTGTTTGGAGGTGACGTGAATTCCATAGGTCTTCTCCAGTCAGGCTGCGACTGGAGATGACTTCATATTTTGGTGTACATGAAGGTGATGGGCGAGGGCCAGCTCCTGCTTATCGAGGAACATCTTGGGTATCTTCCGCCCTGGTACTCGTATCCACGTCTTCTATCTGGGCTGCGTAAACTTTACTGATATGTGACTCGCCAAAGTGTCTTTTTATTACCTCCTGTATCTGAGGCTTCTCCATGCAGGCAGGTGTGCTTCTGCGGAAACGAATGATCCGGTGCACTTCTATTTTTTTGTTAAATCAGGAAGTTGTTATGAGCTCCCATCGAACTTTTTGTCATCGCCCATTCCACACTCCTGAGCTCGCGGCTTGCTCCTGCCTTCAGGTGTCTCTTGAGGTGATCTTCGTAACATGAAGCATGGATAACTTTTTATCTTCCAACGACTACACACTAGCATCGCTGCTCTTTCCACTTCTAAATGAACCCGGCGCTAGCGACCCCCACCCCTACTTCGCGGTCAAATACGACATCCCGCTGTGATGTCCAAGGCGATGGAGTGCTCTGCATTGATACCCTGCATTGTACAAGTTTTACACCAGAACGTTCTTAGGTAGGTAACGTGAAAGACAAACTGTACACTAACCTTCGTGTCCTGGTCCTTGGCACACGCTAGACCAAGGGTTCGCAGCCCTTTTTTTCTCTGCTCAGAAGTGCACGGGAGCCGGGTAGTGATACCTAATGATACCCTCCTCTCTATGCTCCGCTCGTGTTATCTTCAATGCACAGCACTTGCGTCCACACCAAGGTCCCACAACGGAACGTACACTCAGCAGGGAGAAAAACCAGAACATAGAGGCGCAGATACATTGCACCTTTATATGTCTATAAGCCTGTGGTTGGCCATGTGATAGCGCGGATAGTGTATGGAGACGGCAATGGGTATCACCACTGCGAGGTTGCTCGGATGTTCCCACCTGAACAGAAGTGACTAGTGACTCCGTGTTGGTTTCTGTCGTCTTGCTCAAATGTGTGTCCACTAAACTGGCGAAAAATCTGCTCTGGCTGCACTCCAAGCCACGCTGCCGCCATGCGCCCTATCGCTTTTGAGGATCGCGACTGTACAATACGGAGACCGCCAGGACAGAATAAGTAGTACGGTGATCGCCCTCGGATAAAAAGGATAGAGGATAAAGTCTTCGCCGTTCAATCCCTTTGTGGGATGCGGCACGCATTCTACTTCCATTCAGAATCGTAGTGGCTTATTGAATGCGATGTGGCCTATACAATGACTTGCGGGGGCCAGCCGATGTACAAGTCAGTGTTTTATCCTCCCAGACGAATCTGGTACCAATTTACCGCCAGACCGCGCGAGAGGTAAGCGCGCCTTTTGTCACTACACCACTCCGCCCTTCGATATGTAGAACAAATCAGGCCAAAGACAGAAAACTAGAATACGCTCAGAAAAGCGTGTAAAACTCAGCTAATGGGGTGAGGGGGAGGGGGCGTCAGGCTTCCTGTGAATGCATTTTCGTTGGACCCTCACGACTTCACCTGAGCATGAAGAACGACTTTAACACGTTCCCGACCGCGTGACACACATGGTGTGTCATACTTTTTTCTCTCTGCGCCGTTTCATACCATCCATTTGGCATGGTATGAAACGGCGCAGAGAGAAAAAAGTTAGCATTTTCATAGTTCGAGTTAGCAGAACACGTTTTTAGGCACAGAATACAAACATCTCAAAAAAAGTGAAAGAATTATATGAAAATGCTGATTATCGGTTTGGAAAGTAACAAAATTAGTGGAAAGGCTTGTACAGTGGCAGTCCGGAATGTGTTAAACATGAATTGACTGGAGTCGCCTCCATTCCTATAAAAGCCACCATAGTAGCAGTTATGAAGATCGACAAAGTCTTGCTTTCTAACCAAGAGCATTGACGAGTTGCAGAGAAACGAGAGAGCCGACATCATTTAATTGCTAGATCTTCTGACTTCCTTTGACAATTTCATATCACGAGCCCCAAAACACTTTCTTCCGTTCCCAGAAGAATGAAGCGTATTTGGTTTTCATTTCGCGAGAACACTCTATCCCCTTTCCCAGGGAATGGAGCATAATTAGTTTTCCTTCCTAGCGTACAGTTCATTCTTCTGAAGAGAAGTCATACTTATGATAACGTGCTTTCAATGTGATTCTTACCCTTGCACTCTTATAAAAGGAGATTTCATTTGTTATTTTTGATAACACCGACGCGCCCCATTCATTGAAAACATTGAAGTGCAATGTTCCCCTGGATCTCATCATTTTTATACCTGGCTTCACCATGAGTATTCCCAACGTTCTTTTTCCAGTTATGCTCGATAAGGAACGACGAGGGCTCAGCACTGAACAGAAGCGATGCCAACGAAATCGTCGCCTTCTCGTCGTTGCAATCGCACTCAGTCTCCTCGGTTTGTTCGTTCTGCTTGTCAACATTTATCCGCTTCCTCAGTTCTCTATTGAATAGAATCGGATGTAAATTCACGAGTATACTATAAGTAAATCCCATGTTGAGTGAGCAGCAATAAAACGCCGACCGAAATGTTTTCGTTATAAGAACTGTTGCTTAATGCCGTGTTTCACATTCCGAAAGTTATCATAAGAGGCACGTCTCAAGTATGAGTCCCTCCATTAAGTACATTCTAAATCTTTGAATGCCACTGAGCCACTCCAAGACGTTGAGCTGACTGGATAGGAGCGCCCCGGTGGCTAATGGATAGCGCACTCGCCCGGTCAACGAGAGATGTCGGTTCGAATCCCGCTTGAGGCCTGGCTTTTGCCAATTGTCTCTGTCTCTTGTGGCAACTTTCGTATCCAAGTAGCAGTAAATTATTCACACCAACTTTTTAGCGAGACTTTTCAACGAGGTATTAAAGGCATGTGACACGATAATTTGGTACTCGGTCTAAAATGCTAGCAGGGTGCTATATAGTGGGAAAATGGCGAAAAAACGAAGTGAAACGGTCAAAAACCTGCGAAGAAAAGCCTTCGTTCTAATGACAGAGAACGATTTCGGACGAGTTTCCCGTAGTCATCGTGCCATATACGTGCCTGAGTCCTGCATTTAGGGCGGGCGTCCGGGTCGGTATACTTGCCTTGGTCGGTCAGGTCGGCAGCTTGATAAGGCCTTATAAGGGCACCCTTCCTTGGGAAAGACGCTACGCAGCGCCTGCTCAGGGTCGCGGAATTCCGCCTCCAGGCGTATTGATCCTACTCGTCTTAGGGATTTATCGTGCCAACTGCTTTTGAGGAGGTACTCGTACACATAAGAACTGTGATTCATCTGGTTTCAGGTGTAGTTATACTGATCATGGCTGGCTTTCTTTACCTTCGATCGGCTGCCGCTGAAGAGGAATTGAAACGAAGTAGCGATGAATATCTTAGGAAACTCGTTCAGCAAGTGAACGATAATCCAAATTTATTATGGAAGGTGAGTCGTCAATGACGTCTTTGTACGGACTTAAGCTTACTAAGCCTGCGTCTAATCAGCCAAATGTATCCACAGCTAGTAGTGTCTCAATGAAAGCTGCCTTACCCTCGATTTCCAATTAGACATTATTCGGACAATGCTCTCAATCGTGTTGTCCATTTTGTCTCACATGGCTTACTGAAAAAATCAAGTAAAGTGACTTTTTGCAGATGGGAACGGTACCGAAAAGAAGTAGTTTTTGCTTGTTCCACATGCGCAGCACTTCCCAATGGTTTCGAACTTCTGGAGGTATTCGCGTTGGAGAGTTACTAATGAAAATTCTGGGATTCTCTACCATTGCAAGCGAGCTCGTTTGGAGACCCCCTGCTTCTTTTAAGACGGATCTCCTCGTAGGACAGAAGAGGAACGCCATGTTTAGATTTTTAGATTTTTTCCGATCGGCCTCATTTTCGGATGCGCCTTGCATTGTGCTCCCACACTGAGGTGGTGGCAAAGTGCCGCTTCTATATACATAGTGTTTTCCAATGCAATCAAATATTTCCCCAGGGTTGATGTAGGTCCATAAACCATCTAAGAGCAATCTTACGTTGCACTAGGTAGTCATCTACACATTTGCATAGCACATTTCGATCTCTCAGCGACGTTGTGTCTTGATGACTACCCAGTATTCAACCGCAATATTATAAGCCTTCACACGTACAAAGTGGCCGATTCAAAAAACATTCTGGAGGAAACGGTTCATTGCACGAAGTCCTTTTTGAAGTTTCGGTCTGGTATGGTCTTCGAGCAATCCTACACTTACTCTGGCGATTAGGCTGCTTCTTATCTTGCAGCAGCGTCTACCAGCGATCATCAGCGTCAGTGAATAGGAGAGCATACATATCGATCCAGCGAATGGCTGCGCCTACCAGCTCCTAGCAGCGTCTACCAGCGACCACTAACGACCAAGAGTACAGTATTGTGTAGCAGTTTGGTGCAGTTGCGAACGCCACACTTTCACTACGTTTAATCCAGCTGTTTGCTCCCTCCCAATCCCCCATGCTTCCTACTACTGGTCGCTGGTGGACAGCGGGAGAGGTGGCAGACGCTAGATCGATATCCATACTTTCCTAGTCGCCACGCTCGCGGACGCTCGGAATGCCGATGGTCGGTGGTGGATGCTGCCGCCAAAGTATGAACGCAGCCTTACGTGTTGGGTCATGTTTTACTTATTCACTCTGCAATGGTACATGCTCTGAGAGCCCAGCAAAAAACCTGTGAACAAAGCATAATATGACACTTCCAGACTAACAACAAAATAAGTGGAACAGAATGAAAAAGTAGCCAACCCAGACCGCTGCTGGGAAAGGAGAGCATTGTGAAAGACATTCCTCCAATTATCTCAACCGCTTCATTATTCTCATTTATTCATTGCCCTTTTCGGTCTTCGAAGCCTTTTTGAAGTCGGGTCTTTGCCGATTCCTTCAACGGAAGCAGCACCTCATAAAAATAATCTCATTTTCTGCTCACCATAACTTGAACACTTGATGTCCATTGTCATTCCAATTTGCCATTTAATAGTAGTTCACAGTACAATAGGTTCCAGTCAAACTTCTTCGATTTTTTTTCTGAATTTTATTAAGCGATCTGTTGTTTTCTTAGATTTAGGCCAAATACAATCCATTTGGTGTGAAGCATCGATCGTACGGTTTCGAGTATACTCGAAATGCGACGGCTGTCCAGCAAGTCCTCGACCAACTTCAGGCGTTCTTCGATTCCGATGCTATGAAGCGACATATTCAGTAGGAATTTTTGTTACTGTTCATGTACTAGTACTCCCAGAATCTAAAAAAATCTCCCACGAAATTCAGCTTTGGGATCTATTCGGTATCCTGATCACGAATGTCAACGCCGGCGGCATTTGATGCCGTCCATAGAGTTCTCCATAGTTCTCGCCTTCCATACCAGGGTTATTTGGCATCCTGATTGCGAAGTGACAGTGGCATACTTGACGTCAGCGCCATTTGGCACAAGAAGAACGGAGATGACGTCAGTTCTGCACCATTAGCTCCTCCACCATTTATATAAACTCACATAACGGGGTTATTTTGCATCCCGCTCACGAATATGGCATTTGTATTGCTCAATTTAGCGCCAGAATAGGGCTTGCGCCCACTTGGCACCGCGAACTTTCCCACCAGACTCGTTACGAACTTGGGGGTTCTGATCAAATGATTCATTGGCGGATGTCTTGCTATGACTCCTCTAAGACCACGCACGTCTTAGTTGAGGTTTTTATGTTACGGAAGACGAGACTGGGATCGTTTTCGGATATGACTTTTAGTTAGAGTTATTGGAACTGACTTCACTAATTGGATTTCTTGTTACCTGAGGTGAACTCATCTGCCCTTAACTTTCAGAGAACTTGTGGATTTTCCTGACTTCATCACTTCCAACTCACTTCGATGCCCGTCTGAAATGGCCTCACTGTCCTTCAATCTCGCGGATTCCTAACCAAGGAGGATGTGGAAGTTGCTACGTATGTCAGCTTGTTTTGTGTTGCCAGTTTTAGTCCTGCGCTGTGGCTCAAGTTAATACATCCAGATCACGAAATCTTCATGCCAAATACAGTCTTGTTCAGAGCGAATGTTGCGGCGTGTCTGGGGGGGATGCTGAACTTGGCGCCGCGCCAGCCCGTTTCCCATGAGTTGTTGGAGAAATCAAGCGACAACAAAAACAGGCTGACGCCGCGCCAACCTCGACCCCTTTCACCATTCTGCATCCACCGAACAAGGCTATAGAACGGCTACCGCACACATGATCCGGGCATCGAATCATAATTGCATCTAACTCAAGCAAACTTGAGTGGTTATTCGTATTCATCTCGTTTGTTAAGATACTCTCTTCCTAGGAACGATTTTCAGATTGAAGGTAACTATCTATCAACCCTCCTCATTCGAAAGCCACCAGTGTTTTGTATGGGAGGGATAAGAAAGCTCATCGATTCATGCTTTGAATCTTCTTTGACACTTTAATGGCAGCGGTTTCCTAATAATGGCGTCAAGCCGGATGATGCAATGCTCTGAAAACGCTCCCAGCAATTACGGTGTAAAACTGGACGTTCTGAAGGAGGATGTTTGCTGCCACTCTTTCTCATTTCTTCAGAATTAGCCAAAAAAGGCAATCTGTTGTTGTCGATATGAGGCTTCGCAACGCATTGTAGGAATCGTGACGGAGCAAAAAGCTCGAGAGAAGCAGTAATGATTCCATTCAGCACGTTTAAAAAAAAATCCAATTTGCATAACTTGCAACAGCCTTCAAAAAAATAAGGTTGCTGAAGCCAGTGGCCTATATGTAGGTGGTGGGGCACGGGGCAGGGCTGCTCAGAACAGGAACGACGTCACAGCTTTGGCGAGCTTTGGCGTCAGCCTCCGAATGTGCGCCAACCCATCCTATGCCAAGTTTAGATGCCACGCCTTCTCCGTCTCAGGGATAAGAAGTGCTAGTTGAAGTATCCCGCAGTACATTCTTACCAAACCTGTTGTCGCGACGATTTATAGCTCATTATCTAGAAAAGTGGCGACCAGTGTTAACCGTGACATTTCCATAATGACATCGATTTGAATGAGGCGGAGGTGGCCTAGTGGCAAGTGGCCAGTCTACGTTGCAATTCTCAAATTCCACATCGGTTCAGCTTGTGCCAACCAAGCCTTCCACCCTCTGGAGACATTGGCAAGTCATTAAGTCACCATTCTGCATGGAAGTACAACTGAATATGTGTTCTTACAGTCTTGTACCTTCGCACTTGACGTAGCACCCCATAGAAACCGTCGCTTCAAGCGCTACCTCGATTCTTGACCGGAATAGGCAATCCCCGTTGTTCTGAAATGTGATTTTGAGGTGTGAGGCTGTCCCCTGTGAGGCACTGTCGGCTGTTAGGTTTGTTGCTCGCGCACGGAACTGCCTTATCCCACTATCTGTACAGCTGCTCTAATAGTCATTATTTTTTCCATGCATTAAAACTCAGTCGTCTCACTTAAAGTGTACTAGCAGTGTGCCTGCTCAGAAAGTGGCTGCATCACTGCTCCGGAGTCCTTTTCAAAGTATCTTATGTCGATGTAAGTGCTGACATCGATTTGCGATCTCAGCATTTACACTCCTTATCCCTGAGCCAGAGTAGGCGTGGCATTTGAACATGGCACGGAACTGGTTACTCGTGGAATATTCCAGTCTGGGACAACTGTCATCTTGTTCTGTGTTGGACAGAGACACGACAACAATTGTGTCAAGATGAAAATATCTCACCAGAAGC